CTTTTTGTCTCTCTTTTAACGCTTCGTGTGTATAAATGATGGTAAAAACTTTTCTCTTAATCAATTTTTTTCCCCTTTTAAGAATTTTTGTTAGTATATTCATTCATCTATTAGTTTTTTTTCTGTTTTCCTCCATAATGAAATTTGATCGTCTGTTACTGGCTTCGCATCTTTTTTTATGCGAGACAAAATAATTCCAAAATGTTCTACTAGGTAGTTAAAAATTGCTTGTGTTTTCGTGCTTCAACTTTCCATTAAAATAAAAAAAATAAACAGAAATTTGTCTCAGATTTCGTCGAAGAAGCGCCACGGTGACTAAAAAGTCATTTCTAGTGAAGTTAAAAGAGTAAAAATTTATTATAAACAAGCTACATCATGGTTTTTAATTAAGTACTAAACTCAATTCAACGATCCTTCCAAGTAGCTTGTGCATAGCAAACTGTTTCATTTTAAAGAAAGTCATTTAATTTCGTTGTCATTCACACACATATCAAATCGTTTCGTTTTCTCTTATTTCACTTTAAAGTTTATATATATATATATATATAAAATATATAAATCTCTGTAATTTAAAAATTCCCTTAGATTTTATTAGTGTCTAGGAATTTTCGCAGACTCGCACTCATTTAGGTAATTAGATTGACAGAGTTTTGAATGTTTTGGAATTCTTTGTTTGATTCTTCAATCTAAACAATCTAATCGCATTTCAAGAACATGGTTTAATTAAATTTCACATTTTTTTCCCTTAAAATTTCCTTGTAAAATACGAAAAAGTCTGAATAACAGTTTTCCAAATTTTGATTTGTTTCAATTACAGATGTTACATTATCGTAATGCAATGTGATAATAATTTGATATAGATCCATAAAATTTTTGTACAAAGCATTGTTAAATCCTGATTTTAATGTCTTTTAAAAGCATGAGTCGATTGTATTTTTATACCTAGGTATTTCAAATGTTTATCTTTTACTAGCTAATTATTATGAAAAATTCTGACGTTACGTGCATGCATGTATACTTTCAAGAAGAATGAAATGGTTAACATTTTATTTTCAATTCAATCCAGTGATGCAAGCTTTGGAAAGAAGTTTAATTTTACTTCATGAAATAAAAATTTCAACTTAATAATTTCACATCCATTAGTTTAGTAACAATCAAATAAAATAACCTTGAAAAATTTTATGATTTCATTTCAGAAATTGAAATGAGTTAAGCAAAATCTCACTTTTAATTTTAGTTTTTATGTTTCATATTTAAAATAAGCGATTTTTTTTTGACGGATGTATATTTTTGAAAGTGATAATTTTTTTGAAGTAGCAACTACAATATATAAGTTTAGTGAGGTAAAATTGTATGAAAACAATACTTAAATAAGTGTTTGAAACACAATGTAAATATAAACAAGACAAAATAACTTTATTATGAAAATTACGAAGCGTTTTTCGTCCTTTTCTCTAGTTGTTCCATCAAAAACAATATTTTCAATAAATAATCCAAATTTTGACTCTTGTTATTCTCCCTACCAAAGAAAATAATCTACCTCAAGGAAATAAGTTCAACAGAAAATACTGATGTCATTGCTTAGTAACCCCTTAACTAGTTTTGAAGAACATTGCATGGACTATTGAAAGTTAGTCGTAACTAGTTTGCCTGTACTCTGTACGGGCACTGATATTTTCTTTCTTTCTTTGATATGTGCGCAGTTTTAATTCTCATAATGATATTAATTTGGGCTAGTGTTTTGTAAAGGTGGTTTAGTTTGGCTATGGTACTGAAATGCTTTTCATCTGGCATTTTTTTATTTTTGGTGGTGAAGACGGAAATTTTTTTTTTCTTTGATGAAGGCAATAGTTTAGCTCCTTAAATTGTGTTCAACTGTTTGCAATACTTTTGCACTCAGACCGGTTGTTACGGATAACACAAACAACAAAAGCACTTTTTTTTTTGTGAAAGAATAAATTAAATTTGGATACAGATTCAGAACTGTCTACTGATTATTTGGAGCATTCTCAAACGTTTGATAAAGTATTAACATAATTTTTTTCTAAGACTTAGAAGAAATTCTTCATATCATGCAGAACGTACTTACAAAAAGCAAACATTCAAGATTTTTTGTGTTCAACAGTTGTAAAAAAAAAATGGTGTAAAAATTTTAAAATTTAAAACTAAAATAAAATTTTTCATTTTCTTATTCTAATAAATATGATGTTTAGTAAAATACAATAAAAATGAGTCCTATTTCTAAACATTTTGGATACAAAAATTAACCGGTTAAGGGGTTGAATACATAATTGTATCTTTTTTCTTATCAATATTTCTCCCTCTGGAATAAATTATAGCGCTTTTATTTCTTCGAAGTGCAAACTTAATACACAATCAATCCACCGGAATAAATTAATAAAAGAATCGAAATAATTAATAAAATAATCAAAATTTATACTGAGAAATATTTGAATCATATTCATTTATAAATAAAGATCATATTTCCTCTAAAATGAGGGGTTATACTATCGTTTGTTTTGTTCAATTCCTTAAGTACTACGTTAATGAAGCAACAATTAAAAAGAATTTGATGCAACAATAAGTAACAAAAGGAAAGATACTTATTGATTACTGGACGCCAAGCATTCTCACGCAATCTTCCCATAAGAGGAATGTTTCATGAAAAACCCTTTTATTCTATTAGGCCGTAACTGGGTGTTATGCTAAAAGGGTGTTAGGAAACACTTTCTTAGTAGCGATATTTTTTTAAAAGGTGGAACCATTATGAAAACTGATGCATTACTTTACAAAACTTCAGAACCAATGCAACAATGGATTCATTAAGAAAACTTTGGAATTCTGTTGACGTTCTTTTTCTTTAATTTCAGGTCCTGATTTCTGGGGTTTATTAAATCCAGAATGGAGTTTCTGCACAAAAGGCCGCAGACAATCACCGATTGATCTTAATCCATCTGTTCTTTTGTATGACCCCCATCTCAAGAACATCCACATCGACAAGTTCAGGGTGAGTTTTAATTTACACTTCAGGTGCTTTCTTTATTTGAAAAAAAATCTCTTCAAGCTGAAGAGGACAATATTTCTTGGAATAACTTTGGTGCCTTTTCAATTTCAGTAAATTTCTGAAAAGAACAATTTTTCTTCAAGAGTACTTCTTACGCTGCAATAACTTCGTACTCAATAGCGAAAAATTGCTCTTTGAATTTAGTTTTTGGAAAGAAAAATAGATTTTGGAATCGACTGAAAGAGAATTCATAACTTGTATGTGTTTTGATCGTAAGATTCGATCTGTTGTTAGATGATGTATTGCTTTGAAATACAGGACTGGTAATTTGGAGTTTTAAGAAAAGAAAAAAAGAAAGCTGTAAGCCTGACGTATGCTTGAAACAACTTTTCAATTATTAAAACGATTATTTTTAGATATTGCTGCAAATTTCTAATAAAGCAAGCAATTAATTTTAGTTATAATCAGAAATACTAAATGTGCCCAAATTTTAAAATATTTAGGAATGATTAGAACTATACACTATTAAAAAAAATTGCATAAGTTTCAATATAATACATGTAATTGAAGTGTTCATATTCAGCGAAAAATATTTGAAGTCAATATATTATTCAAGATGGAAAAAACGATATATATATATACCATATTTATTCCAATCTAAGCCGCACCTGAAATGCTCAACAAGTTTTTGTGAAAAATGAGAAATAGGGTAGAATGTTTTATCGATATCCAATTTTATGAAATTTAAAAAAAAATTAAAACAAGAGCTTATAAAAAGTGAATAATTAGTTATTTTCCCCCACTAATTTAAACTTTCAAATGCATATGTAAATCTGTAATTTATTTAATTGTCACATTCAATGAATTTTTTTCGTTCGATTCTAAGCCACAGCCGATTTTTAGTAGCATTGATGTTGGGGAAAAAATTGCGGCTTAGATTCGAGAAAATACGGTATATATATGTATATAAACCATTATAAACCGTTTCTTCAAAAATAGCCTGTTAGCTAAACATGTTCTTTATTAAAAAAGAACCAAAAATTGAATAATTAATAAACAGGAGTTAAATACTATGGAAGCAAATTTCTATGGTAGGAGAAACTTTCCACAAAAGAATATTACTATATTTATTGGTTGGCAGTGAAGAACAAATAGAGGATACAATATACTGTAATTGCTTGATGATTCGTGTATTTTTCATCATAGTTATTACAATAATTAATTTAGAAAAAAAACGTTAAATAAGCACTAATTGTTAAATGCTATGTAAACGAATTTCTATGGTACGAGTGAGTGTTTATTAGGGTCGCACTATAAAACAACAAGAGGTTTATTGGCGATGGGTCTTGTAATTTTGAATCACGACCACGACGACGATGCCTGAGCTGGCACCCCCTATCCGAATTTTCACACCACATCGACAGGAGGATTTTGAGCCTCGACAAAGTTAATGTGCATCAGCTCCTTTGCACTCGAACTCATTTCGCATTGGGCACATCCCTAACTATGACCACTAAACTAGCTACAAAGCTTTTAAAAGAACATTATTATATTTATTGGGAGGCTCTTAAGAACAATTTATAGGGACGTTTTTAATTTTAAATATATATATATATATCTTTTATTACAGTAATTACTTAGAATAATTTACAAAATATACATTAAATAAATGTAATTAAACAAAGGTAATTTAATAAACAAGTAATATAAAAGAAAAAATTTTAAGTCAATTCCTACTTAGATCAACAAGGAAAAATTTTATTTTAGGTACTTTTTATTAAATAATCACACTTAATATAAATATGCATATACATATGACAGAATTACAGTATTAAGTGGCATAATAGAAAGTGATTTTCCTTGCAATTTTCCACTTTCCTTTCTATATATGGTGTTGGACTATTATTTATGTTTGTTATTATTTATTAGTTAAATAAATTTAATTATTCAAATAAAATAGTATAGTAAAAAGAAATTCCATTCTCAAAAACTAGGCCATCCCAGGTGGGATTTGAGTTCACGAACATTGGATTAGAAGTCCAACGCACTATCCTTTGCACTACAGGGACACAACAAGCGATTTTCCTTTTTATATATGGTGGACTATTATTTTTATTTGTTACTATTTATTCATTAATTAAATAGAATTAATGAATTAGTATTTGAAAAAAAAACTGTATTAACATCAAGTGTCATCCACTACAAGTTTAAAAAAAAATGTATTTGAACTTGAGTGGAGGAATAAAAAGTATTTTATGAACGATTAAAAATTTGAACAAGATATATATATATATATAGGGAGAATGTGAGCTAATAGTAAAAACTGAATAAACCATTCTTATCAACAATTCTTTTTATTCAATGGTATAGTATGATTCACAAAAACTGTTTTTTATTTATATGTTTGAAAGTTCTTTCACACAAAGTGATAAAATGAGAAACTTTCATTCTTGAAACCTTGACGGATCAATTGCAATCCACTAAAAGAATATGCTTGTATCTAAATAATAAACTAAAATTCAACTATGTTATATATTTTCTTATTCCACTTCGCATGTACCATTTTACTGTATAAACAATTTTATACATTATAATACATTTTTTACTATCTTCTATGCTAAAAAATTCCCTATTTCCTTTCTTCTTTATCCATGTGGTTAAGTATCCACAAAAATTTAGAAGTTATACAAGTAACTATTCAGGTGTTTGTGACACATATATCGCGATGTTAATTTCAATACTATAACCTTTTTTAGAAAATGAAAAAGTTACAAGGCTCAACTAGGCATTTTAACTTAAAGAAATAAGCTACGTTCTTGTTTCCCTCATTAATTCTACTTTTACTTTTATTTGGCGTCTTTTTTTTTATGCTGAAGCAAAAGGTTTTGAAACTTTTCTTGGAAAAGTGATGTTGTCATTAGTGTAATGTCGTAAAATAAATGGAAAACACTGAAAGTTTACATAACATTCGTAGGTGAATGTCAGGTTGTAAAAAAACAACAACAGAATAACAAATTTTTCTCTTGTTTAAAAAAACTCTTTATTTGTTAACAGTCTCGTAGTCAGTCTGAGTTTTATGTTTCGTCTCATTAATCAATATGCCTTACAAACGATAGTTTTAAATTTCAAGTTTTTTTTCTTAACGATAAAATATTAAGATTCTTCGACTCTGTAATTTAGTTTAAAGAGCGCAAAAACATTAAATCGAAGTGAAAAAAAAGGAAGCTTTTTTTTTTAAATTTAAAATCTAATCAAAGTGATAAATGCAACAGGCAAGTATTTTTTTTCAAAATGCAGTTCTAATTCTTCATAAAATCGGTATTAAACAAAACACAAATATTTTTTTTTCGACAGGAAAAATATTGTAATGGGAATTAAAAATTCAAATACACGAGACTTTATTGCAAGTAGTCTATTCGAATGTAATTTCTTTTTATTAAAAACTATACAAATCTCCTATATCAAAATACTCGAAACATCTCAAAGTTTAAAAGAAGCATCTCATGATACATATAAAATGTACATCAAACCTTATAGACCAATGGTGTCAAACTAAAAGGCTAACTTGGGTCAAACAAACAAGGATTAACTTTAAGCGGGCCGTAAAAAATTACTATTCATAGAAACGTAAGTTTATTTCGAATAGTACATTATTATAAACATAAATAAAAGAACAATAAAAATGTAATGTTTGTTTCCTGAAACTTGACATATTTTCTCTACGACTATGTTTCCTATTTCGGGAGAAATTTTAATATTTTATTATATATTATTGAGAGCCGATATAGTAGCCGGACCGCGCAAAAATGTTCGTTGTGGGCCACATGAGACCCACGGGCCGCAAGTTTGACATCCCTGTTATAGACGTATCGAGTAGGCAATTGTTTTACCTCGAGAGCCACATTGTGGAAGCGTAAGGTACCGGAGAGCTGTACCTTTTTAAAATGATTACATCAATTAGTTAACGTTGCATCTGAATAAAAAGGTATAAATTGTTCCGTAAAAGTTAACAAATATAAGCTAAATGAAATAGTGTCAGTTTTAATCAATTTATTTATTTTCTTAATTCCATATCCTAGTTTCAAGCGCATTTAATTTTCGAAAATGTTTGATGAAACAAATATACCTATCGCACTTTTCTACATTTTTTAAACCAGGAGTGAGACTGCTTGTTGAAATTCTCATCAGGGCCTGTAGGTTGATGTCAACCAAATTGCATGTATATTTACTCTTGCTGATAATCCTGCAAGAAAGACTGTGCTCATATATATATGCTTGTCCAAGAATGGAGAACATTTTCCCTTTACCACAAAATCCGGTGTATAGTGCGCACTTTTAACATAAAAAATAAGATCGAAATTTAGTGGTGCGCCTTATACTCTGAGTATAAAAAAAAATGAAAGCTTTAAAAATAAAAAAAATTGTGTATAGAAAAAATTAGACTTCTGCATATATCAAAATATTAATTCTTCAAAAGAATTGACATTTCTTATGAGTCTTTTAAAAGGAATAGTCTACTATTTCTTTTTATAATGCTTGGAATAATATCTCGAATAAATGACTTCGAAAGATAAAAGGATTGCACACGTACATTTCAGGATTTTTTGTAAAATAGGGGATACGCGTTATACCGCTAATATACCTAAAAACTAAAAATTCCAGCTTGAAAGTATAGATGCTCGTTATTCGCAGTATTTTACGGTATTTGATATTCTGACTGTCTTGGTGAACCCCAAAAAGAATTCTTTGTGTGCCACATGTGACCCACAAGCCGCGATTTGCCTAGGCAAAAACAAAAGAAATAATAACATAAACAAAGGAGATATTGAATACATTTACTTTTGCGCAGTATAAAAAGCATATAAAGTTTAAGATTTTATTCCTTACTTAGAAAATACTCTGAATCGTAATCGAAAACAACACTTTGTAATTATCTATAACATTCAGAATTTGTTTAATCTAATCGAGCTGAGGAAAAAAAAAGATATTTCCAAACGCTTAAGTCTTGAAATGATTCATTAACTTGACGAGAAGGGTAAGTGAAATCAAAGCAACTCTCACCAAGAAAATGCCGCATACACTATTGTTCACACTATTTCACTATCGATTGGTAATTAAAGAACTGTCCATACATTTCCAACAGATGCTCCTGTGAAAAAGTTGAGAAAAATAGATTTCATTCCCACTTTCAACTCCAAGCGACAATCGCACTAGCTAATGAGCTTAGATCGATAGTGGCCTACGTGCATTTCAAATTAATCTTCGTTTAAGCTTGAATTGTTTCCAAGTAAAGAACTACTCTGTGCGCTCGAAATTAGAAAATCGACTACACTTTCCAGAAAATTAAGTCTTTTATATCCCTTAATTGCTACATACGATAAGAAACGGGGGCTATAGAAAAAAATTCAAATATTTCATTCACAACAAATTTTAAATTAAACATAGATTTTCTAAAAGTATTGAGAACATTTTGACAGTAAAATGGAATTCCTGAATTGTTTAACAATAGTAACGAAAAATGGGATTTTCTTGAAAAAATTTGTACTGCTTTATGTACTAATCGAATGGGACATCAGAAATTTTCCATCTTTTTTCGCTGGGTTTTTTTTTGCATAAATACACCATAGTCTAAAAAAAAGGCACTTAAAACTGTATTATCTGAACTCTATTACGCATCATATACTATAACATTAACTAGATTTATTCAAATCAAATATGTCGTGTGCCCTTTTTGTATTAATTTTCCTCGTATACTTTTATGTTTTATAGTAATTCCTCTCAAAATTAATTTTTCCACAAGAGTTAGATGACAGAAATTCTGCATAACAAGCCAGTTTTCTTAATTATGTGTTTGGGTTAAATATCGAAACAGTTATTGCTATACTTTGAATCGGAATGAGTTTTCGAAAGCTAATGAATAGTACAATATAGATGAAATAATCAAGTGAAAGTCTTGTTAAACAGTAGGATCTATGATCAAAATTTGGTGTGTCCCAAGAGAGTTAAATATATATACAGTCGAACCTCCATATAACGAACCTCTACATTGCGAATTTTTCTATAAAGCGAATTTTTTGCTGGAACGAAGAACATTTCACGATATTCTTCGTAAAATAACTTCCCAATAACGAAGTTCATTTTCTATGTAACGAACATTTCCCCTTGTGAATCAATTTTTTTCCCTATTTTTGAAGTATTTTTGGATATTTCGAGTTATTCTCTCTTTTAGCACATTTTATGGTGGTCATAAATCTTGAACTGGTTTTATTATGTGCTTAACTCACCGACCAAAAAGGAATTTTGGACATTTCATCCAAGAAGTGCAACCTTTAACCCCCTGTATCCATTTCACTGGAAACATCTTCGATATCCTTTTTCACCCTTAGTGGAGTCTCGTGTCCTTGAACTAGTATCCGTTCATTTGTAGTATTGATCAACCATACTGGTAACTTCGTGTCTTGTAATTCGAAAATATCAAAACGTAAGTACGTGAGCATAAAAAAATAATAATAATTCTTATAAAATAATAAAATAATTATTATTTTTTGAATATTGAAAATGCAGTGAATTCCTCGACATTCTTTTTTCTTGTTTTCCTTGCAGTTTTTCTTTCTTCCTTTCTTTTTTTATAGGTAAGATATATAAAATAAATATATATTAATTTACAAAAAGGAGTGAATAATTACTTTTTTTTAATGTTTTTTGTTTATGAATTTAAAATTTGTTTTCAGTGGTTTATATAGAAAATTGAAAGAGGAACCTCTATATAACGAATTTTCCATATATCGAATTTTTTTTCGGGATTTAGCAACTTCGTTATAGATAGGTCCGACTGTATATTTATAGAGAGAGAGAGTATTCCACGAAGTTATGAGACGTAAATTGTTGATTTCCATTAATTTATTAAATGTTTTTATTAACATCGCACTCAGAAGAAACCCTAGGGCTATTGACAATGAACATCGTAATTTTGAACCGGGATCAAATGATGAAAACGAGACTTGAGAAAGCATCCACTCTCCAACTTTTGAACACCATGCCAACGTGAGGGCTTTGAAACATCATGGTG